TATAGCAGAATAATGTGCAGCCAGGATTGAATTGTGCTCTTAAATTCTAATGTTAACAAGGTTTTCAGGAATAGGCCACAGTAGCTTGATTTTTTTGTCCTATGTGTATTTTGAATTTAAGGGAAAACCTAACATTAGTGTGTTAATGCAGCTGTAGCATGTGGATATGGAATAGAAATGTATTTTCATGAGAACCCAATTTAAATTACTGTGTTGAACCACTCAATACAGCTGGATTCTTCATTCAGATTCTCTGTAAGTTCTTCATCTCGAGATAATTCAAACACATAATTCTCACAGACTTTTTCTGTCAAGCCCATGCAGGACTAATGCAAACAGGAGGTGCGATAGAAAGCTCCACTGTGTTATAACACTGGAGTTTTATCTACTGACTTCAGCATCCACAGAGTATAAAGCATGTGAGTTGTTCTTGTCTAAACTATTTTGAACAAGGTCTCTTTTACACGCTAGTTCGGCAAGCTTCTAAGGCATTTGTGCAAAGTGATGATGCAAGAGCAACCTGATTCAACACTGAGAAATTAATAAATAACATCCAGCAGTAATTAAAGTGAAAAACTACATCTAAGAAAAGCAATCACTCTACAATATCAGTTAAGATACTTAAAAGTGGAATATGTTTACTGGTGCCTTCAACTCAGGAGGTATGGTCGTGAATTTTAACTATACCAAGGATTCATCCTGTTTTTTACATAGATTGAATTGCATTAACAGTGATTAAAAAATCATTAATATATGTGTAGAGAAACTATAAAAGTGGAAGAAAAACACAGTGCCAGTAATTACCATCTGGAAATATACTATACATGTAGTCAGTATTTTTGTATTAAAATGAAGATTTAGTTAATTCTGAAGTTCAAAATGGTTTTAAGATAACTTAGCGCTCTCTATAAGGCTGGTCTCAGGAGTCAAGTGCGTGGTATTCAAGATGGGGACATTTATAAAGGACTTCAGTTTGAAGAGCTGGAATAGCCAGTTGATGTCTTTACCATCTTGATGAGAAAGTCCGAGCTATTTTCAGTAAGTACACACTAAAGTCACAAAAAATATCCCTAAAAATTCTCTGTCTGGATTTCTCTTTAGGGTTAAATGGCAGGTAACGTTCACACAGAGCTTAGTTGTTCCGGTTTTATGTATGCAAAACTTAACAAATTAGTAGAATTTAGGTAGCTAGTAGTATAGCAAATAATGGGTAGATCTGAAAAATAGCATTCTGAGACTTTTTTGCTTGTTTCTCAAGCTCACCACTGAACCACCTGCAGTATTGGCGGAATTCAGACTTTATCTTACACCTCAGCAGGCCAGAATAATTCATCTGTGTTGTGGATTCGTTAACAGTGAAGACAGGAGTGATTTGTGAAATTCAGTTCTAGAAGTGGGTTTGGATAAAAATGCTCTGCGGTTTTGATGTGCTTGTGGTTTGGACCAACATCTCTCATTCAGTTTTTGTCTTTTTGTGACTCTAGCTTTAGGTACTAACCTGTAAAAATCACAATATGTAGTCTTCTTACTTAGGAAGCTTGCTGTACACCTCAGTACTGGATACAAGATCTTTAGCAGGACTTATGTGAGGAACAGTTAAACAAAAGCTTGTATGAATAAGGCACTAGTAAATGTTTGCAGCAAACAACAATTACAGTCGATATTCTTTAAGAATAAAGCCGTTCTGTTTAGGAAGTTGCCTTTAATATGACAAGAGTTACCAATGCCAGTTAGAAGGGCGTTAGAGAAAGTGCATCTTTTAGATTATGCCTGTGAGGTCTATGAGAACCCACTGAATGCAAATACCTGTTGGAAACAGCCTGTGCAGTGCTGATATTCACGAAAGCTAAAGCAAGAGAAAACTGGTCTAGATTCTGACCCTCGCTCAAACCAACGTGAAAAACACTGTAATGGATTTGCTCCAGATTTCTTCACATTGGTAGAAGGATCTGAAGCCGGAATTGAGGCTGCTGTGGCAAATGTAGTTAAACAGCAACAGTGCTAACCCAAAACAAATAATTGACTATAATCCCCTTAAACAGCTTCAAAAGAGAATCTGATACTTTTAATTTACTACTTGCTGAAGTCCAAGGATGCACTTTGTCTTTCGGCTAATGTAACAGACCAAAGCCTTCTGTGCTACTTTGGAGCTGCTACCATTCTAAACAGTTATTCATACTTCATACCAAATGAAACCTGAGTCTGCCAGTCCGGCTGTAGGCTGGCTGACCACGATTTCGCATTATGAGTTGTTGAAAAGACCTTGAACTTTTCCATTCATAAAACCAGAACCTACTGCCACTTCATAAATATATTTTTATGTATCAGCTCTTGAAGCACCAGAATTTGTTAATCAAGCCAGTAAGAATGCATTTGTAAACTAATGGATCTGGTTAATATGATTGTATTTCTCTGGGATCTGTGCAGTAAAACTACGACATCTGAATCATTCCTTTGGTTTACTACATGGAAGGTCAGTGGTAACTCCGCGGTCTGATTTCATTAGTAAATCATGCTTTATAAACAGACAACTTAGCTTTATCATCTGACAAATTTCTGCTCCACTCAGATCCTCCATTATTTGTACGAGATGCCATTTATGATACTTAACACATTTCTAGTATCCATAATGCAAGAGGGAGAAAATTACATTAATCTATTCTTGAATATTATTGCCATCAGGTGCTACAGTTAACAGCTCTGGACAGTGGGGTTTTTTTGTTTGCTTGGGTGTTTGTATATCTTATGTAAGACTTGGTATTAAGTTTATTTCAAGCTTTAACATCACCCATCCATGGTGACCAAAAGGCTTTACAAATATCTCAGCTGGCTTTTGAAAATGTGATGGGTTTTGTGTTTGGTTTGGGGTTTTTTTTAGCTTTGATTCATAAAACTAAATTAATTGGTGGTGTAACTCGGCTGAAATTTTTACCAGAAATTAATGTGAACTAATATTTATTTCTTAAGCAAAACAAAAAAACCCCAACAAGTAATTAAGTGCTGGGGATGTCTCTCCCATACTTGCTACATCTATTACAAATTATATACAGATAAAAGAAAATACAGAAATTTTTCTTCACAAAGATCTTTCCTTCATAGCAACTCAGGAAATCTTTTCTTTTTTTAGATATTTGTTTCTTATATGAATGTCAAAATATATGCTTTTCTATGTGTGTGTGGGGGGAGGCTAATAAATGGTGTGTCTTTATCTGAAAGTTAGAAAATGTTACTGAGCATTAGAGCTGTGCAGAATCTTTCTGTAAAAGTTGAGAACTTTAAAAATGTTTTTGTTATGTCATTATTTTCAGTAAGATGATGTAAATCTTGGCAATTGCAAAAGAAATAAACATTCTTTGTCTGAAGTGTGCCTTTTGCTGTTATAACTAGTTTTGTGGTGTGCGTCTAGCTGGCAATTTGAAGTTGTGCATATGTTACCTTGTTAGAATTTCCTAAGCTGTGCTTACTTTAAAATAAATTTGAACTTTTTTTATAACCTTGTAAATGAAACCTTGTAAACTTGTTCTTAAGATTAAAATAGCACACTGGGACGTGGTTGGTTTTCCTTCTCCTTTTGCCCACTGCTATTCAAAGTGTGCCTTCAGTAACATACTGCCAGGTGAGAAAAGTGCCTTTTGGAAAAAGTTCTGTGAATATTTAACAAAATGCAGAACACAGTTTGCTTTCATGGCTGTATTTCTTCAACAGAAGCAGAGGGATAGTAATGAAACATTATTATGAAGCTAAGTTATTACAGCTCTGGCTGGAGAAAAATCTGTTGTCAAGCATTTATATGTATTTTTTAAAAGAGCAAATTCACACTTTTACAGAACAGTTGCTTCTTGGTGCAACTGTGTTGTGTTTGTAGAGGCACACTATTAACCCCAACTGAAACTGTGGCCTAAATGAAGGCATCACTTTTCTGTTTGTGCTGATGTGTTCACCTATGTGGATGACATTTTAACAACAAATGCCATTTCACAATCATTTTTTCTTAAAGTAAAATTTAGGAAAGAAAAAACTTCCAGGTGTAAAATCAAACAAAATAACTATATGATCATCTAACAATAATTATTGCATGATTCTGTATAACCCTTGATCTTCCTAAAAAGCAGTGTTTGATTTTTATATGCATTGCTTTGATAATGAGTCATCTTGCAACTAGTGACTCACACCTTATAAACATTTAACTTGGGGAAGAAATTTTCTAGAGATTACAAAAAAATAAAAAAAGTCAGTCCTAGGTTTTTGCTGTTAATCCAGGGATTTTCATTGTTAGATGAGATGCGTATAATTGGAAATAAATATTATGTTGAAAGGAATCCACATGACTGATAAAAAAAATTGATTTATCAGAGAGGCTCTAGGGATTATGACGAATTTGATGAGGCCAACCCTAATCCCTCAAAAAATTTTCATACTTTTAAGAGATGAATGAATTACCAGTCATGTAACTCTAATATACTTTAAAGCTAGTTAGAAGACATGGGAGAGTGTTACTCAAACAACATGCTGAAAACTAGGAAGTATTTGCACGACTGGGTATTTATGTAAAGGGAAGGATTTATATGGGTGAAAGTTTGCTTATTCCTTTATGTAAACCTACCATCTACTTGTATGTCAATAATAACTGATCTTAGAATGCCACTTCATCTTGGTTTTGCCTCAAAGTTCCTTCTAGCCAGGCTGCCAATTAGGGAAAGTCCTAAAACTGCAACAGAAAAATTGACAGGTGCTGTTAAATTCAAACATGGAACATTAAAAATAACATGGAAGCAGAATGACATTCAGTGTCAGAAGTAACAAATTTGAAAGTCTTAAATAATTCAATATAGAGAATATAGTTTAGACAGTTTTTATATAAGTGTGCTTTTTCCTAAAAACACCCCCAACCCAAACTTTTTTTTTTGCTTTTTCTTTAAGTCTTTTTGTCTGTAAATATGAAAGAGGGATACACCCCAACGTAATTCTTCATCGCCGTACTAAACAGTAAAATAGTCTTTCTAATTCACGTTGCTCATGGCAGTCTTATTCGATGCTGCTTTATTCAGTTTGTGATTAAAGCAGTTTGGGATTTTTGTTGGTTGTAAACTTTTGGCATAATGTGAATACCAGTCCCTTTCAAAAACAGCCTTGAGTTGCTTAATGATGCTTGTGCTGTTCCCCGCGTCTGCTTGGTTGATAACAAGGCCAGCTCCAGCGTTCTGCGTAAAAGCATTTCCTACCCAATCAAAATTACCTACAAGTAAAGGCAGGAATATACAATGAGTTTCTGATATTTAAAAAAAAATAAATTAAAAAAGCAATCTCCCTAAAGGCAATCCAGCATGCTTCAGTATCATTTTCCCCAGTGCCTACTTGCCTACTTGGACAGAGGGGGAAATAATTTTTCTGTACCAGCAGGAAAGGAAAAACTCCTTACATACCAGTGTCTAGTGCAGATTGTTTCTGGAAGTTTAACAGCTTCAATCCTTCTTAAGTGAAAACAGGTTCTGCTATTTATTCAAAACTAACTTGCTCTTCCTTTTGTATATATTGTATTATTACTCCATTGACTTTCCTCATTGGTCTTTTCTGTGCCAAGAATGAAAATACTTTTTTTGTTGTATAAACAATTTTAAGTAGATGAGATGGAAAGGAGTTGCTCCATAATGCCAAGCCAAAAAAATAGATCTTTTACAGGTTACCCACTGACAGATAATATTTCAGGAAAGAAAAACAGGTTTTACTGTTTTACACAAGTTACTGCCACCTTTGTTGAAATCTAAGGTAATGAATGAGCATCTCAAATCCTGGTGATCGTAAGGCAAAGAGGATAATTGGATTAATGGAAAACAGGTAAACCAAGAGCTTTAGTTATTTTTCTTTTTTATTTCACTAGAACGATAACTGTTTAAGTTGTACATTTATAATACATGCAGTATTTTGGAGAAAAATGCTGTTACTAGAGGTCATCTTTTAAAACAATATCTGAACATCCATAAAACATGAAGGTATCTGAGAAATGTATACCCTTTCTTTCAGCAGCATTTCACCTATTTCAGCGGGAAATGTTAAGAATTCTAAGTTGTCAAGGATCGTAAATCGCTTCATCATAAGGGACATTTCTTCCTGTGCTTTCAAGTAAAAGATATACCAGGTCCTTAACACACATTTGTATTACTTTCACATAGCTTTGATTCTTTCTTTCTTTTATTTATATATAGCTAAGGATGTAAGGACAATGGGAAAGAATAAAACCAACTCAGCTTAGAATCCATGCCATGTAGACAAGTAAGTTATAAGTTACTGAAATTTGATCTGGCTATTGGAAGGAATTTAAAATGGATTGTGAAAAATAAGATTTGGATAGGTTAGGAGAGGTGTGTGTGTTTAGAGCCCATCAAGGTGAGCTTTTCAGAGTAGCTTTTGGTTGTATCTCCACACTACTTGGGATTCTCCGTTCTTCATGTGTGCGTGGTCCCACTTCGGGGTTGCAGCCCTTGCTCTCCCTCACTGCCTCTGCCTTCCCTGGCTTTAAGCGCTCGGCAGTAAGTCAGGGTGAGGAAGTAAGCAACTAAAGCATCGAGCTGCAGCACATTAGAATGCATGTTTTCTCTCTTGACTTTATAAAATCTCAGGAGTTACTTTTTAATTCAGTAGCAGTTTTCTGATCTTGCAGCTCACGCACAAGCTCAAGCAGTCAGATTTTTTTTTAAAGGTAGTTTTTAGCCTGCATTCAATGAGCTTTGGTAATGAACTTTTGCTGGGTGCCATGCAGCAGCTTCACTTAAATACACCTTTAACTGAAAATAGCAATTAGATGTGTACCTAAACTTAGGAGGGTGTCTGAACTGGCATTACAGTAAATGGAATGAGACTTCAGAAGATGAGGATGAAAGGCATTTGTACAGTATTTACCAGGACTGACTGTAGTTTTAGTAATAACATGGGAAATGGAGAACAGTCAATTTTCACTGGGTTGCAGAAACAAGAGAATATGTTAATAATCCAGTTTATTCCTGCTTCATAAAGTGCATTGTATTTGTGTTTTCAGTCTGGTTTTAAATACTGAAAACAGAATGTTGCTTTTGAAAAACTGATTCTAGGGGGGGGAGAAGTTTTTAAATGAGAAGAGGCTCAAAGCTCAGTCTTGATGCATGCAGGTTCACAAAAAAAAATGAACTATTACTTTAACCTAACAAGCATATCAGCTGTCGATTCCTCATTTACAAATGGGTGTTATTTCAGGCTTTTGGCTACAAAGTAGAATTTCTTGAGATGTGGTTACTTACCAATGTATGCAGCTCCATCAGTCACCATATATTTGTTACGATTTAATTTGGGAAGGGAAGTGTTCTTCTGTTCTTTAAGGAAGCATGCACTCTCTTCCTCAAGGTCAAAGAATTTCTGCCATAAAACAGAATGGAGTTCAGGTTAGTGAGAACCGTTCTATAATGGACAGAACAAATATGGTCTTTACTCTTTATTAAAAATGAGTTAGTGCTACAGAACAGCTTCAGTTTTCATAGCCAAGCACATAGTGTTGATAAAACATTGCACAGTGTATTTCTTACTAAATTCTTATAGTTTGTGATACTCACTATGCCTTGGCATTCTGAACTATACAAAGTATATGGCTACTGCATACTAAAAGCGATAACAGTGCCAGGTAGTAAAGGCTTTGAAATGAACAACCCCCCCCCATCCTTGTGTTCTGCATGATAAGAGCCAGGAACGTTTCATTAGCTCATTTTCTCATTCATCAAGTGACATTAGGGTTTGAAGTCTGCTTCAGGATCTGGATTGTCAGAAGACTAGCATTCAGCAACAGCTGAATTAATACCTTTCTATTACACATTGCATAGTTTCCAACAGGAAACTTGCTGATTTCTGAAACTTGGAAACTTTTCAGGATGAAATGGAGGGATCAAATTTACCAGACAACAAGAGGAAATGCATCAGTTTTACCCTAAAGGGTGAAGTCTGAGGGAGCTATATGCCCTCCTTGTCTGTATCAGTGCCAGCCAAAACTGAGATTTCCAATAAAAATTTTAAGTACTGTTTCATCAAAGAAACTAAAAGCTAGACACAGATCCCAAAACCAGAAGTAGAGAATAAAATGATGAAGGAGAAATTAAATATTTACTACATAACTAGGAAAATTTGGCTGAGGTGATGGTGTAGATCCTCAGAACAAACCTAATTCACGCTCTGTTACTGATGAAAGTAACCAGCTGTACATTGCACCCCCCTAAGACATTGAAAAATAGTATCACAGAAAAACCACCCCAGAACTGCATGATCATTCCTGGGGATCTGTTTTCCATAATGCAAACTCCATCTCTTGAACCAGTGCTCTTTCTGATACAAACCTTGAGCGAATCCTTTTAGGTTATGGAGGTGTCTTTCAGAATAATCTTACTACTTTGAAAACCCAGCTGTAAAATACTACATTCATTATTGAAATGCAGTGATCTCTGTGGCAGACTATATCATGCTTGATTAAGTCAGACAAGGGTTTATGCCTAGCACACAGGCAGGGTTGTACAGCGTTCTTTACCCAGCTCATGATGTACGTAGGTTTCAAGCTGTTCTGCAGTAAACTGCTCAACTCTTGCAAAAGGTGCTGTTATTAGAAATAAAATTCAAAGAGTGTGTTTTTTCAGTGCCCAAATATGGGATGGTACTGCGGTGAGGTTTTATGATCAATAACTTTGTCACAAAGTTCACACCACCGCATGCTTGCTTACCTGTCCATGGCATTGTTATCTTCCACAGCTTAGTTTTTGTAATGAGTTCAAATACTAGCAAAATTCCAAGTTTTTTGAATTTAAAAATAAGCACAACAACCCAAACCATTTGATTGCTTTATAAAGGGCGTTAAAGAAGATTATTCTCTGTAAAACGGTATTATCTGTCCTTTAGATGAGATTTCTGTTGTATATTCACATCTAGCTAAGCTGCATGGAGAAACCATACCTTTAATTATGGCTTTTTTAGCATCACTAACAATTACAGCATGAGTTTTTAAAAAATGAGAACAAACCATCTAGCATCTGTAAAAGAAAGTTGACTAGATATTAAGGGTTAGTTCTAAGACAACATCAAGACTGCAACTGTGTGCCTGAGGAATTGCTCTACAAACACGCACCCACCACATAAATTATGTACTGAGCAAGGCAGAGATGCAGCCAAGTCTTTCAGAAAGGGTCATGGATTTTTGGATAAAGCCAGTAGAAAATGCTCATGTTTTTCCTGGCGCAACAAAACAGGAATGGAGGCAGTTAGCAGCCACAGAGTGTCCATCAAGGGTACTCGCGGTAACTTCACAGGGATGTGGAAGGTACTGTGTGACCATACTAGTATTGTAGGGAATAGTCTAAAACTGGCAAACAGGTAAAATATTCAGTACTAGGAAACAAAACATAATAAGCTGCCTTCTTCCCTGTGCTATGAGATTTAGCAGAAAGTTACCTTGATGTAAAAATAGACAAGCACAGTAACCATATAAGCTTAGAGTTGTCAAACTGAGATAGATTTAGCAGATGTGCTGAACTGAAAAATCATATGTTAGTGTTCTGTTTGTATAACTTTGTAAGAGAGAAAATTTCAGATTCAGGCAGGAAAAGACAGAAAGCTTGAAAATGTAATGTGTTCTCCAGCAACAGCAGAGAAGCCATTAACTCCTTGACAAGACAGATGTATGGAAACCCATCTGCCCTCACAAACAGAATACACAAATGGAGCTTAGATGGGCAAGTGAACCCACACTGGCATTAAGAAGCACAGGCTAACCTTCAGCAGAAGTACTGTGTTAATAATACACCACCTTCTGCTAACATTTCATTAATCTTTTCCATCCTTATTTTAGGAGTTTTGAGCTTTAAATTAAATTTTAGTGCTTAGGAGCAAAGTTTCATAGTTAATTCAAAACACTGTTTGCTCATAGGGCATTTCTGTCTTTCTGAGAATTAGCGAAAGGTTCTGGCTTTCCTTCCTCTCTTAGCAGGAATACACCTGCACAACTCAAAAATAGATCCACGTGGAGGCTCAAGAACCAGCTTGTGCTGTAGATATACATCTGTTCATGCCGCTCCTTCCTGGCCTCCAGCTGTCTGAAGACACTTTGTTCTGGTTCATGTTTTCTGTGGGCTCTTCAAAACCACACACCTTTCCCTGTCAGCTCTGCACCCACAGAGCTGGCCCCTTTTTACGGCTCCTGTGAGAGACTGAGCATTCTTGCACGAGACATATTTACAGGGTCAACCACACAAAACTTAAGAAGTATTGGAATTAAGGCCCCCAGAAGCACAATGGTGAGCTCTTCACCTTGAGTTCACCCTTTATGATTCAAGCTTTAATTTGATGACTACATGGTTCAGTGCAAAGGCCAGAGCATCCTGAACAGGCAGCATTCCTTCTTACCTAGGAAACTTGTAATAACCATGTACATTATAACAAAAATCCCTATTTCTAGATATGTATAAACCCTATTTAGTGTGTAGAACAAAAACAGTACTTGTTTTTTACAACTGTTGTCAATTTTAAAAAGTCAAAATGATTTAGTGGATTATCAATTTAAGAAGTTAAAATAATTTCGCAGATTATTTAAGACAGTTACCTGCAAAAAAGATAGAACAAAAATAATTGATCCAAGGTGGCTGATTCCCACTGTGCCTCAATTTCATAAGAATGAACTGTACCAAACTGAAAGTAGTACTTACCATACACTCTGTTCTCTAATACAAATGTAACATATATGGTATTTCTCACTTTCCTGTATTGCATGTGAACATAATGGTTGTTCTAGTCTTCACAATTCTGAATTTGTAGCCTGAATTTAATGTAAAATCTTCATTATTTTTACTTGTACTTTGCACTTTATTAAAGGAAAAGCAGATGCTTACACAGCTGAACAGTAAGGTTACATGAATCCAGACTAAAACACGTTTACTCTTCATCAGGCAGTATAAGCAAGACGTGTGACTACGGTTCATTCTGTTGGCTTTGCTGTGAAAGACCAGATGAGCTGTCCACCACACAGACTGCCTCTTGGCATCATTCCATTTTTCTGTCTTAATTTCTCTGTCTGTTACTACTAGGAATAAATTCAGTTCCTTATATTACATTTCCTATGTTATTTAATTAAATTTAAAGGCTTTGATACTGACAGCAAATACTTCTCAGTTGTGAAGTTTTTTTTTATTTTTGGGCGGAGGTGGGAAGTGTCTTAGATTTCAAAGAATATGGATTATACTTACAACTTTCAAACTACAGCTTGGAACTTCAGTGCAAATAGCTTTCAGAGATGAAACAAAGTTAAAAGTAAGGGGATCCGTGTCTCTTGAGAAACTTATGAGAAGCCGTACTTTAATACTTCGTAAAACTAATGCTTCTCTTATCTTCCCATCTAAATATGGCCAGTACCTGTGAAGAAAAAATATAATATATTCAGAGAACTTGAAAAAATGATGGATTTTTATGCAGTCAAGTCTAGACATCATAGAGAAAACTAAACACATGTGAATTTCATTCTGTTGAAGGAATGCCATTCTCATTTAAAGGAATTTTCACTAAACACATCTGTCAGCATTCTTTTTTGTGTCCTTCTGCCCTGCACCAAAACTGTCACTGTGGGAACAGTGAGGTTGTGGATGGCTGAGCGCATCTTTCATCTGTGTAGGTGCACAGAGAGCTGCCAAAACACTTGCACAAAATACAGGGACGTTGTCCACTCCTAGCTGGGAGAGTGACTCCTGTGTCACACCTGTGACAGGAGCCGCGGAGCTCTTACTGTGCCAGAGGAGCAGCAGAAGGAGCTACAGCTAGAGGGTGCTGCTCACCCAGCCCAGGCGCAGGAACAAGAGGGTTCTCTCTTGGTTACCCGAGTAAGGGAACAGGAACACTGGATCCCACCCTGACTGCCATCCTTTTTTTCCTCTGTACTGGGACCATTCAGTCTGGGGGACTGAAATGCCTTCTGTAACTTCTTGCTTGGGAAACAGGAGAGCTGCTTCTGTGCAGGGCGCCTGCATCCTTCAGCAGCAGAACAAGATGGGTCGTTTAAGGAGGATGCTACTTTTTTTCCTGATGAAGATTGCAGAAATTCTGCCATGAGTGGGATGGTGGCTTCCACAGTGCTATTCTCACACTCGCTAGTTAGCTTTGTGTTCCTGACCTTTGGTGGGAGCAGGTCAGGACAGGGAGAATTAGATAAAGAAAATGCATGTTTTCTTCATTCCAGCAGCATCAAGGCGTTTGAGCTCTGCAGTGCCAGAAAATAACTTACAAGCAAAACTGGGAGCTGACAAGGTAGGGAAACTCTGGCAGTACCTCAAACACAAAGCCATTGCTGTAGGAAAAATGTAGAGGAATTCGCACAGGTGGCTTCCCTGGATCTCCCTAATCCAATAGATTTCTGAATTCTTTAGGTATGAGAACACAGTAGGGAGGAGTATAGGAGGTAACATCAACTGCAGCACTGTAACAGTTCTACAAACTAAGATCCTTTCCAAAATAAAGGAGAAATGTAAGGGATGCATGTTGTGAAACTGAGGTTCCCACAGCACTACTCATGATTCTTTCACTGCAAGAGAGACTGTACATAATGAGTTTTTCAGAAAAACCCTCTTGTAGATTTGAAACAGCTTATGCTTGATATCAGTCAAATGACAGTTATTTTTTGAAAAATTTGAACAAAACGCTTTAATTATGCAAAACTGGAAAAAAGCACATAACCACAGGTTTAATTTGGCTTAACTGTGTTCAAATAAGGTGCATGGATGGAATGGTGAGCTTTACTAGATGCTCAGTGCATTGCGAGCATTACCAAGAGTAGGAGGAACCACTGGCTGCTTGCCTTCTGAGCTGGAAGGTTTTATTACACTGGCTCCAGTTTTGGGTCATGAGTGCTTTTTAATGCTCCATAGAAATAATGTGTTTAAAAATTATGTGGTTTTGTTTGTTTTTAGTAACTCTCAGTTAACCAAAATGTGGTAGAATTCAAATACAATCTGTGCTGAATTTGGGATTTTCCTGTATATGTATGTATATTTCGATAAAATAATGACATCTCCCATGTTGTATACGGGTACTCACAAGGTTATTTCTCTCTTCACACGCACACACACACACACTCTCTCTTATGTTGAATATCTGTATGACATTGATAAAATGCCAGTAGCTGTGGTACTAAAATAGTGAATGCAATCGTGTAAGAAGTAGGATTAATTTGTGAGCAGATTCTTGTATTCCTGGGTCCCAGTCACTTGCAGATGGTCAGACTAGACACTTTCTGATCTCCATCAATAAGCAGATCCAAACCTTAGGACCCAGAACTGGAAATGTCTTCTTAGGTCCCAATTCTGCTCCCATTTAAGTCAATGGCAGAACTCTCACTGATTTCAATAAGAGCAGAATTGGGCCCCAAGAAATTGGTCCACAGTAGTAACTAATCTCCTGTGGGTTCATTTTCTCCAGCAGACCTTAGTGGCATTATGATAACGTGCTAGTCCTGGACACGAACACTCACCGTTTAGCATTGGTGTCAATGACGATCGGCAAGTAGTCCATGACAGCGATGTACACAAACTGCTTTGCATCATCGATAACACTGTATATAGCTTCAATATCCAGGACTCTGTCCTTTGGGCAGAAGAGTTTAGGTGAATTCTGTGAAGGGAAAAGTTCAAATATGTCATTTAAAATACATGATTTCTTTTCTCTTCCTGTCATTCTTCTTGAGGTGGCAAGTAGTGCCCCTTATTTTAGTAGAGGATATTAACTGATACCTTCAGCTGTCCTGCTAGAATACTCAAAGGTACGAAGGAGAGTTATTTGCTGAATTCCCCCTTGAAAGCCTTGCCATTTAGAGGTAACTGTGGCTAAAATGCAGAAGACATTCAAGTCTCAAGTTCAGAACACACTAGAAAATTAACTGTACCAAGATTTCAAAACCAATATTCTGGATCCATTCCTGAAAACTAAAGCAAACAGCCAAAATCTCTTACGTTTTATCAGCCAGTCTGGAAGATGATTTTGTTGCTAAGCAACATTATAGCTGTGATTCCCGAGTATAACAAAAAAAATTCAATGACTTTTTGGTATGTTGTTGTTCTATACAGCACAAACATTGCAAGTTAAATACATTTTCAAAGAATGAGTTTCAACTCAAGAAGAAGTCTAAAGTGATTTTGTTAAACATAATTTTTACCTACTATCTGAAACTTTTAAGAGGCTGTTGGGGATGGTTTTACTCTTGTAATTACCTCCAAAATGAAAGACATTCCACATCTTTCATCATCATCTCTCTCTCTCTCTCTCTGTACTTTTTTCCAGTTTTGCTACACCACTGCTGAGATGGAGGACTGCTCCTTTGCTTCCCAGTAAAAATACACACCCAGACAGTGCCTCCATGGGGATTGCTACTTGGATTTTAGAAGTTTTAAAATGTCATTTAAAACTAAAGCTAAAGTAAATAATGTTCTATAGAAGTATGAATGCATTCAATGGAACAGGTTGAAGAGGATTAATCCTTATAGATTACATTGATAAAAATGCAAGCTCTACTATCAAGCTTATTCTGTATCATTTTCAATGTCTGATTAACAGTTCATTTACTCCCAAGTAAATAAATAACCTAATTTCAAGACTCTCCCTATCATTTTTTGAATGCAAGAGGAAAAGTGGTGAACATTACAGAGAAAGGTTAAAAGAATAACACTCAAATGAAGTTCTTCAGAATCTTCAGTCCTGGGAAACTGCATGTATGATCAATGTCACAGAAATCAGAATGAAAAAAAAAAAAAATTGTGATTTGTCTCTTCTGCACCACAGGAAAAGGCAAACAACTTTTTAAAAACCTTTCAATGACAGACTTCCCCACAAAAGTATACCTATTGGAATAACCGTTGTCCCAGATTGGTTTTCCAGCATTATAAGACTATCAATCCGGTTCTGTCTTGTGTAGGTGACAGCTGTAGTGGTCTTATGTCTATAGCTGAGTTTCCAGTCACTTACTTGCATGAATCTCAATTTTAGTATCTGCTTTTGGTTAAGGACATAGCGGTAATATGCATCCTCTTCATATATGTTCCTATTCACGGAAATACCTTCCACAGTAATTTCTCCCTGATAGTATGTGTCAGGGACAACACAGCATAATGATGCACTTATTGCAGGGAACTCTGAACATCTCTGTATCAGTGAAAAGACATTTGAGATTCTTTCATAGTTGCTACTAGCACCTACCTATACTGGTCTCAGTACTCTGGAGTTCGTAAAGGACAGTATTAGGAGAATAAGGAGAACTCTTGCAAAAATCTGGTGGGTTAAATAAGTTTCTTCCCTTCCCTCCCTCTCTGCAACTCATTTCAGAACTTACCGACACAAAAGCTTCTGATTTTGTCTCGTTCAGCTGCAGTGTCAGTTTATTTTGAGTATCGTACACTCCATATAGTCTCTTAGACCAACTCGGAGGTAATTTATTCTTGTATCTTAATGAGCTATACAGGGCAAATATCCTTTGTAAATCCAGGACTAGGCAGCTGCAGTTGTATACGATGATACCAAGTTCCTTCATCTGTGAAATTAAAAGTTCATATCATTAGTGATATTCTGGCTGATGGATCTGTGGAAGATGCAGCAAGAACATAGGAGTGCCTGAGGGGCATCTTCCAGAAGCATGCCTTGACCTCAGCAGTAGCACTGTCGCCTACAAGAACATTCCTAACAATACTCTTCTAAAGGCAAACGCAAATGCATAAACTAAATCTTCCAAGTCAAGAGCGGCCAAAATCCGTAACGGGGTTTGGATGTCAGAGCTGCATGTCCTGTTAGAATGCAGCACACCTTATGGATGGACAAGTCAGGAGTGATACCCATTTGTCACAGGCACCATTTTTGTTATAGGTGTTGCGCAAGGTTTACTGCTCTTGGCTAGAGGGGGTTTTATTTATTTATTGTTTTGTTTACAGGAAAAGCATCCTTTCTGCTGGGTGGCACAGGAACACACGCTGCTACCAGTGACAGTTTCTTACTTCAGAAACAAATTGTTTTTTGTGAATCCTGGAAAAGGTGAAAGAAATGGACTTGTTATTTCACTGCTGGAGAATGAATATGATGTTCTGGCTTCAAATAAAAGGATGAAAAAACAGGTGTTTAATACTACCAGTAGCTAAATTTACCGTGCTATTAAACCCAGCATGATCCAGTATATAGCATACCCCATTAGGACACAAAAAGGTTGGGTTCTTAACTGGTATGGTGCCTCACCTAGGCTACTCCACATCTCTGAGTGTCAGTTTCTTCACATGTAGAAATGGAGATAATGATACTCTGTCTCTCATGAACAGTACTCTGTAAGCATCAACAGTCTCACATACAAAGTGTGAGGAAAAATAGCCCAAGCAAATACAGGCATCATAGTACAATTAAATTCTTTAACCTTCTACGGACACAGTCTCACTTCTCCATTTAAGTAAAGGCATGTCTCCTGCTCATCATAAATCTTGGTTTGGCAGAGATTTCATTAATTGCACATCCCTCGTACTTAAGTTGACAGAAATTAATTTATAAACATATGGCCTGGCTTCTATAATCAAAGTGCAGCCGCACACACACTCACCCCTTGCTTTGCCTTATAATAGCTCAGGAAAGCACAGATGCTATTGACCTCTCATTAGCTGCATTTCACACTAGTTCAGCCATCTCCAAAAATAAAGTGAGAAGAAAACCTGCATGTAGCTGCTGGAAAACAATATATAGGATAAATATTTAAAGGATCCATACTGGTTTTCTGCAAGAAAATTCTCTTGGTAGCATGTCTCAGAAGTCTGCCTGGCACAATAAAGAAAACAAAGGAAGTATAAAATCTCTGGCATGCTCATCCTTTGACACCAAAAAATCCCTCCTGGTTTTATTCCCTTAGATGAGCTCTCCACAGTCACATGGAGTAGTTTCTGGTAGGAGCGTATCTCTTTGTCAAGTCTGTGGGAACTCTGAACCCCACACTAACATTGTCTCAGAGGTTGTTCCTGTGCAGCTCTCCCGACCGCAGATGAGAACCGCTC